TTTAAATTGTAATGAATTAATGATTAATCCATCATGGAGACAAATGAGTTTGGATAAACGGCTGGGCTGATTGACCAAGAATATAATTAATTAAAGGCGTTAAAATCAACAAGACGCATTGAATTTTTGATAGATAATAAAAGAATGGTGTGAACAAAACTTAAGAAGCCACGTACCTTATGCTTACGCTATCAATCAAATTAAGAATACTTATGTTCTTATTTAGTCAATTAGTTGCATCATCTCAAGTTTTAAAAATACTATTGCATATCTTATAAATAAATTATTTTGTACATATTATTTATATACGAGTATTATCATATACAAATATATAAAGCACAAGAAACAAGATGAATAAAAAAACTATTAACAAATACGAATTATATGTATCGTGATGAATCCAATCAAACATTATTAAGCATATACAAGTACTTCTTATTTCTTAGTTTAAATCAACAAGTGAAATTAGTAAATAGTTTAAAAGTTCACAAATGGCTAGCCACATAGTGTATGTGACCACTTCACAATAAGACAATTAATTAAGTAATGGGGTTACAGTAATGAGCAAATAGGGTTACTTTAACGTATGTTATTTACTTAAATGAAAAAAAAGGGGTCACTCGATCTCTTACATAGATAGAATTATTCTTTTGATTTTTAAGACATAAAAATAAAGGTTACTCGAATGAATAAATAGGGTTACTTATTTCTAAAATAGTTAATACTACTCATGTAATTATTTGAAGTTATTTTAATGGACAAAATGAGGAACTCTTATGAAAAAATAGGGTTACTCATCATATTTATAAATAAGAATATAATTGATATAAAATTAAAATAACCATAATAGATAACTTTTTTTTTATCAATAATTTTTTCTTCAATAAAACGATTTAATATGAAAACGGAGTTTCAAATTCGCAAAATAAGTCCAATTAGTGTAAAAGTTTTAATGAATTGATATAAAACAAAAATAACAATTATAGATAAATTTTTTTTATTAATAAAAGTTTTCTTCAGTAAAACGGTTTAATATGAAAACGGAGTTCCAAATTCGCAAAATAAGTCCAATTAGTGTCATTTATATATACTCCGTATTGGATCATACCTTTTGTGGTTGTGCTCATTATGTTGTTTCCATCAAATTTCGTTAGTGCTTCCACTAGTCAACGGAACGTCATATTTGACGTTGACTTTTTAGGAAAATAATCATATTAGGTGACCTGAGTTACTTCATGACAATTAAATAATTGTTATTCTACAGTGACCCTACAATAAATTATACTCAGTTCATTTTAATAATACTAACAATTAACATCATTTTTAACTCATGTATATACAGAGTATGTAAATTATATCGTCTACTTGAGAGCATTACGTTACACTTGTCCATACAAAATATCCGTGAGTGTAGAATAGTGTAATTCTTCTTGGAGGAGGCTTTCTCATTAAATCAATATATATAGGGTTTACAACCTAATCATGAGAATAACCTAAAATACACAAGATATATTTACAGAATATTTACGAGATAATATTAACATATTATCTAACACACCCCCGCAGTCGAAGCGGGAGGAGGTCGAATGCTAAGACTGTCTCTGAAATCTAAGAACAGTTGGCGAGGTAAACCTTTCGTGAAAATATCTGCGTACTGATATGAGGACGGAACATGTAAAACCTTGACCTCGCCAAGAGCGACCTTGTCACGTACAAAGTGTATGTCCATCTCAATGTGTTTGGTACGTTGGTGTTGTACCGGATTAGAAGATAAGTATACGGCAGAAATATTATCACAATAAACCATGGATGCCCGTCTAATAGGGCAATGTAACTAGTAGTAAATTCCGAAGCCAACATAATTCAGAAACAACATTAGCGACACCTCTATATTCTGCTTCGGCACTTGATTTGGACAATGTAGCTTGTCGTTTTGCAGACCATGAGACCAGATTATCACCCAAATAAACACAATACCCTGAAGTGGATCGTCGAGTGTCCGGGCAGCTGCCCCAATCGGCATCTGTATAAGAAATAAGTCTCGTAGGCGCAGAACGGTATAAATGTAGTCTATGATCAGAAGTGCCTTTTATATATCTGATAATACGCTTAAGAGCGTTAAAGTGAGGTTCCCTAGGAGCATGCATGAATATACAAACCTGCTGAACGGCATAAGCAATGTCAGGTCTTGTGAAAGTGAGGTACTGAAGCGCACCTGCAAGGCTCCTGTAGAGAGAGGGATCCTGCACTGGCTCACCGTTATGAGCACTAAGCTTCGACTTAGTATCGACAGGAGTAACAACCGGTTTGCAATTGTCCATCTTGGCCCTGTGAATAATTTCCTCTGCGTACTTACTCTGACAAAGAATCATAGAGTCCTTCGTTCGGGTGACAGAAATACCCAAAAAGTAACTCAACTTCCCTAAATCAGTCATGGAGAATTCATACTTGAGGAGAGCAATAATATCACTCTTGAGTTGTTCTGAGGAAGCTGTAAGCACAATGTCATCAACATAGAGCAAGAGATATGCAACATGAGTACCATGTCGCAAAATAAAGAGGGAATTATCACTTTTACTGCAAACAAAACCAAACTGCATCAGATAATTAGCAAACCGTTGATACCAAGCCCGTGGGGCTTGTTTGAGACCGTAAAGAGATCTATTGAGCCGACAAACATAAGTGGGAGCTTTGGGATCTACAAATCCCGGTGGTTGATGCATATAAACAGTTTCTTTGAGATCACCATGAAGAAACACATTTTTAACATCAAGCTGATGAATAGGCCAGTCCCTACCCATAGCAATACTCAAAACAGTACGAATAGTCGCCGGTTTCACTACGGGACTAAATGTCTCATCACAATCCACACCAACCTGTTGAGACTTGCCATTCACAACAAGTCTTGCTTTATGTCTCTCCAAATCTCCATTTTCCCTATATTTGTGTTTAAATAACCACATACACCGAATAATATTCACCCCTTCCGGTCTTGGAACAAGATTCCAAGTATGTTGTTTAGTAAGAGCATTAAATTCCTCATTCATGGCGGCATTCCAATTATGATCAAGCATGGCAATTTTCGGATTTTTAGGCAAAGGTGAAATGTCGGGAATTGTCACATGAGCTTGATATTTTGGATTAGGCTTGAATATTCCACACTTAGCACGAGTGGCCATGGAGTGTGAAGGTTGAGGATTGGGCTGATTTTGTGGAGTTTGTTGGATCGGGGTTGGGGATGGAAGAGAGCCGAATTGGATTGATGGTGAAACAAGGGAGTTAGGTGGGCTAGGAGAGGAAAAATGGGGGCTGGACAGTGGGCTCCGCAAGGGGCCTGCGGTTGGAGATGGTGAGCCGCAACCCACTTGCGGAGTGTACTGTAAGTCCACGACAGCTTGTGGCATTATAGGGTTTGTGGGATTAGTGAGATTTGGGCTTGGGCCTTGTGTTTGAGTGGAGTTTGTGCTTTGTGGAAGTTGGCAGTAATGTTTTAGCAACGAATTGGAATTGTCACTATAATCCAAAAACTCATAATCACTTTGTTTAAATTGTTGAATGTTAGAGAAAGGGAAATAATCTTCAACAAATGTCACATGACGGGAAATGATTATTTTATTGGAAGATAAATCATAGCACAAATAACCACGATGATTGGAATGGAAACCCAAGAAGACACATGGGGTGGACCGAGGGGCGAGCTTATTAAGAGCCGTAGCACTAAGGTTAGGGTAGCAAAGACAACCAAAAGTGCGAAGATGATCATAAGTGGGGCACCTACGATAAAGAACCTCGGTGGGGGTTTTATTTTGTATGGTTGTGGAAGGAAGAATATTAAGTATGTAGACAACCATAGACACGGAATAAACCCAAAAAGACGGTGGAAGAGAGGCATGAAAAAGAAGAGTACGAGACATATTATTAATTGTGCGAATGATTATTTCGGCTTTGCCATTTTGAAAAGAGGTATTTGAAGGAGTTATGTGTTCGATAAGTGCAATTACTAGATATATCAAGGATCACTATTATGGAGATAATAAGTTCATTCTATAGGGTCGTTAATGTTTGGTGCTAGATATGACAATTGATCTTTGGGCTAGCTTAATGGCCCAAAGCCTTATAGAATGGATCCTACAAGGTCACACATAAGAGTATTGGGTTAAACAAGTTAGAGGCCCATTATTGGGCCTCATGAGTTCATGACATACCACATTGATATTTGGGCTTGGATAATTAGAAGAGTCTAATGGGTTTTGGACTTGACATGGTTTTATTTCTAGATATGATCTATAAATATAAACCATGCCTAGGGTTGCAAGATAGAACAATTGACATACATTAAATAGTCACACAAGCAACCAAGCATCCCAAAACCCTAATTTTCTCTCTCTCTATTCGGCCCTCACTCTCTAACCTCGCTGTCCGTACGACTCTCCTTTGTGGGCGGCGCGTGTGGTGGCGGTGTGGTGTGTTCATGGCTCGGATCTCCGTTGAAGGTTGACTGAAGCGTTCAGTCACAACTAACTAGCATTAGTGGAGGTTTAATCCGTGCTCGTGGACTAAGTAGAGGAATCACACGTGGGGTTCTTGTTCTCCTTATTGTTCTTGCTCGATCACTTGTGCAATCACGCTTCAAAGGTATTATTCTTACTCTTTATGTGTTATTCATGAGATCCTTGGTTAGGTGCTATATGAATATGATTCATGATTATTTCCGCTGCGTAGTACCTATAGTCCCCTACAGTATTTGGGCAAGAGAATCGAAAAACTATGCCATTATTCACACAAAATTTTCGAAAGGGTGAATTATCAAATTCACGACCATTGTCACTTTGAAAAGTTTTAATGTCCCTTTCGAATTGAATTCGAATATATGCTCGGAAATTAATTAATGTATCATAGACTTGGGACTTATATTTAATAGGAAACACCCAAAGAAAATGAGAGAAATCATCAAGTAAGACCAAATAATATTTGTGACCCAATTTGCTAGAAATAGGAGATGTCCATAAATCCATATGAATAATATCAAAAGGGGAAAAAGTAATAGAAGTAGAGGGCTTAAAAGGAAGTCGTACATGTTTTCCTAAAGGACATGAATAGCAAAATTGAGAACTATTTCTCTTATTACAGCGAATATAATTGTTTTTCCTAAGAAAATCAAAAACAGGATCGCCGGGGTGTCCAAGTCTATGATGCCAGGTTGAAGGAGAGATTGCAGCTAGAGATAGATGACTATTGTCATTTGATGCGGAAATTGATGAGAAAGGATAGAGGTCCCCCACACTATTGCACCTCGCTAGAATTGTCCCCGAATGAAGGTCCTTCACAGAAAAACCAAGAGGGTCAAACTCAACAGACACAGAATTGTCACAAGTGAATTTTCTAACAGAAATTAAATTTTTAATTATGTTAGGGACAAAAAGGACATTCTTGAGATTGAAAGGTGGATTTGGTGTAGGGGTAGTGGAATTGCCATAACCATGAACCGGAATGCGTTTTCCATCACCAACTAAAATAAATTGAGGAATGCTCAAATTAAACAAATTAGAAAGTTTACCCAAGTCACGAGTCATGTGAGAAGAGGCCCCCGTATCCATGTACCATCCATTGTCAGCGGACTGAAGACTCATGGAGCTGTAGGCTGTGGGAGTCATTAGTTGACCATAACTGGGCTGAGCATCATAAGCTTGCTGCTGAGGAGGCCGCGGGCCCAATATAGAGGGACTGGACCCGCGATACTGCTGCTGGGCCGGACTGGTAGGAAACGGGCAGGGTGGTGAAGCCCACTGCCCGTTTGGAAGCTGCTTCCAAAAAGGTTGCCCATCCCATTGGGGTGCTTGTTGTTGTTGGGCCTGCCATTGTGGGCCAGATTGTTGTTGCTGCTGGTTATTGTTATTGTTCCCCCGACCCTTTCCACGACCTTTAGGCTTGTTATTGGTTCCACGACCACACCCCCTTCCACGGCTTGCACCACCACCACGCTGATCGGCCGCCGGCTGCTGGGAACTGGGGTGTGACCCGACAGTATTGGACTGGGCTTGACTGGATTGGGCCACCAAAGCTTGTTGGCCCGATTCTTCTTGTTTCTTTTGCCGAGTTTCTTCGAGGAGAAACATGGAGCGTGCTTTGTTGAAGCTTGGAGTGGGTTCAGTTTAATTGGGAGATGATGGCTGCCACGGTGTCGTATTCGCCTTTGGTGAGACCCGAAATAAGTTGTATAAACATCTTTCGATCGGAGACCGGACAATCAACGTTAGCAAGTTGATCCGCAAGAACTTTGATTTGTTGACAATAATTCGACATGTTAGCAAATTGTTCAAGTTTTGTGGTGGAAAGTTGTTCCTCCAAATACACTGCCCTAGTATGCTTATTATCATGAAACAGTTCTTCGAGTCGGGTCCATAATTCTTGAGCCGTAGCACCCGGTTTCATGATAGTGTTAACAAGGTCTTTGGAAATAGTGCTATATATCCATTGTTTAACAATTGCATCCAATCTCTTCCACGTTGCATCATCAACATCCGTTGGACGCTTAACCTTTGCATCAATATGATCAGTAACATTGTAGGCACAAGCATGGATTTGGAAAAGTTCAACCCACGTAGCATATTGAGCGTCCGCGTGATCGAGAGTCACGGGCATGAGTGCTTTGATGTTGTTGACGGCGAATGCTGGGTGGAGAGGGGTGTTTTTGGGAGGTGGAGGAGGGGGAGGAGGGGTAAGATCATCACCGGCCATGAGGGGCAGAAGGTACGGGTAGGTGAAGAGGCACGGCTATGGAGGTCCAAGAGATCGAATTAGGGTTTGGAGAAAGGAAAGAAAGAAAAACCCTAAGAGGAATCTAATACCATGTAGAATAGTGTAATTCTCCTTGGAGGAGGCTTTCTCATTAAATCAATATATATAGGGTTTACAACCTAATCATGAGAATAACCTAAAATACACAAGATATATTTTACAGAATATTTACGAGATAATATTAACATATTATCTAACAGTGAGTTTAATTCGAATCACTCACTAACCAACACATGACGGGCATGATATGGGATTCATGAACATCGTCATGATCGTACTCCTAGTATGTTAACATCTAGCTGTTTCATGGCAAACCAATTATATAAAATAAAAAGGTGAAATGTACAAAAGCTATAAAAAAAAAGTAAGGCAAAGTGAAATAAAAAAAAAAAAAGATGAGAGGAAAAAAAAGAAAAGACAGTATTTGCTTAATTGTGAATTGGACTCACTATTTTTTTTTCCATCTATCACTATCTATCTTTTTCTCTTAGTTGGGTTTTGATGTATATTATCCTGCTAAAGCTAAACAACAAAGTTAGAGAAATTATCCAAAGTTATCAAGAGTTAATCAGTTGGGATATTAGATATTATTATTGTGGTTATATTATTTCGTTGAAAGTTATATATTTGCATTATATATTATTATATTTCTTAGTCATGCATGTCTAACACTTAATCTATAGTTTAAAAACTTCAGCATATATTTCACTCCGAAATTAACTTGTGGCAATAAGCAGTGTACGAATATTGTCTTGGGTGATAATCCAACATGAGAGAATTTTGTAGTTTTGTAACTTGAATTGATGTAAAATTTATCATATTTGCTGAGTGTATATTTATTATTATTATGTATTCTAAACGTGTGCTAAGAAATTTTCCAAATGCTACGAAAGCGAGCCTCTCCTTTCATCTCCTCTCCTCTCCTCCTCTCTTTTAGGATTTCTCCAAAATCTTGGCCATTTAGGTCGGAAATAGTCTAATTTCTTCGGAAATTAGACTATTTTTGACCATTTTCCTTTAATTTTATTTAGTTTTGCAATTTGAATTTCAATACATCTACACAAGTAGTGTAGATATTCGTCCGTCTCCCTATGGTGGAGTGTCTCCGATCCCTATGGTGGAGTCGTTAGTTTTCATTAGTTTAGTTGTTTGTTTTTGTTTAGGGTTTGTTTGTGTATTAGGGTTCATCAAAAAAGTAATCATCTTTTGCCCTATTGCCAGTTTTTTGGTAAAGATTTGTTCGGGATCGCAACGGTTGTAAAATTTTCAAATATGTTCAGGCGAATCAGATGAAAATGATCCTTACGGCTACAACAAATCGTTAGACCGTCTCTCCGAAAAGGCTGTATATTCAAGCAATGTGTGCGAGAGATGTACCACAGTGCAAGATCTTTTCAACGATCGTAGCTATGATGAAGGAAAACCTAATTTGATTCAATTTTATGTATTTGTTAATTTAGATTTCATTTGTAGATGACGGATGACTTTTTATTAATGAATTGATTTGTTTTTTAAAAAAATAAATTCTAAACTTGTGCTCCGTATCATATTACTACATTAAAAGTGTTGATCCAATGAAATTTAACTTAAATCTACTAATATAATAAAATAACTTAATTTAGTATATTCGAACTACGAGCTCTACACAAAGAAAGTTAGACACACCATATATTTTAAAAACTAATCAAGAAATTTACGTTCATACTTTTAATAGCTAATTAATCATTACTCAAGTATTGTTTAAAATAACAATAGCGTATAGAAATTCATAATTTTGCCTAATTAAAATCAATATAATTACATCGATATAATTTTGCCTAATTACAATTTTTTGTGGCTAGAGGGAGGGTTCGTTAATCGTTACAGTGAAAGTGTGGTTGGGACAAATCACTCGATCCACTCCGCGATTTGTAAGTCCAGCAATCACGACCACTAATGGTGAGAATTGAACGTCTTATAATGTTTTGCTTGAGACTAAAAAAGGGATGAAAGAAAAAATTGAAGAAAATGAGAATTTTTTGGATAAATTTTGGTTATTACATGGGCTATTGATTTTTGGGCTTTGTTGTGAGTTTTGTCACAAATTCACGTATCGTGTCATTAACCACCATACAAGGTACGAGACTTGGATATTTCATTAATAAATTGTCCTGAAATTTTTTTTATAGTGTTGATGTAACAAATATCATATGAATCTTATCACTAAAAATTCTATATTAAAGTTTTCAATTGGTAACTAGACAATGAAAAAAAAAACTACATACTGAATGATTGATCATTAGGTGTTACATTATTACACGCAACTATACAAAACTTAGCTTTCAATAACTTGGGTAAAACTAAAGTTACTTAGTAATTAGTAGTGGCTAGCAAAATCTTAAAATATGACTTATTATTTGGTCTGATATATACATATGGATATACTTGGTACAATAAAACGTGCTAATAGAGTAATAGTTGCCTAAATTATTCATTTTGCAAAATTAACGAACTTATCATCAACTTGATTGACCAACTTTACGTCAACAGAGGAGAAAAAAAAAAAAACCAATCAGCAACGTCGCTATTATCAATTTATCAGCTTCGCGTGGGTGACGCCAACATAAGAAAATTTGTACACATTTTACAAACATCTTTTAATCCTCGCTCATTCTTTTAAAAATTACGTATTTTGTAGGGCATGTTTGGACATTTAAACATTTTAAATCTATAATTGTTACTCGTACATAATATACAAGATTTGACGTCACTCAATAATTTTTAATACTTGTAATTGTAGGAAATGTGTCCCCGACTCTCGTGCAATTACTAATATAATATGGATCGTATTATGGAGATAATAAATTCGTTTAGTTGGGTCGTCTTTACGTCTTGTTAGAGACCAATATTGATCATTGGGTTAAACCAATGCCAACTAAATGGATCCTATGAGGTCACACGTTACAGTGTTAGGTCGGACATGAATACCGGGTCCAAAAGTTGGGCTTAGTGAATGACTGGCCATAAGGAGTAAGATAGGAATAAGTCTTGCCCTAATTAGATAATATGATTATATATAATAAAGGGCTTTGGGAAAAATAGAACAGACGTTCATCTCTCCAAAAGAAACAACGTAATATTTTTCCCTTCCTCTCTCTCTACAACTGGTTAGAAGTTCTCCATAGAAGAGGAGATTAATTCTCTCCCGTCCAACTAGCACTGGTGGAGGTTCGATCTACGCTTGTGGACCAATATTAGAGGAGCAACAACTGGGGCTCTATTCTCCGCAAGAAGGTAGAAGAAAGCTTGGGAATTCACGCATCAAAGGTTAATTCTAAACTATTATGTGATCCTTTATTTGTATATGCATGAGATCCTGTTTAGGTGCGTATGAATAAGATTCATGAAATTCCGCTAAGAGTACCTAAAACCCTACAGTGGTATCAGTTAGCCCCTTGCATATAATTTATTGGTCACAATAATATGATTATTTTGATTTATTTATGTTACTTTTAATTTGATTAAGGGGAGGAATTGAATTATGGATCGAATAACCCAATTAAAATATGATTTTGATTGATTGTAATTGATTAAATGAAGATTTAATTGCTCAAATTTTTTTTATTAACCCTAGCCGAATTTTTTAGCCCTAAATGCATTAATTAATTTTCTGATTTTTGTTGTGTTATGAACCCTAATTTTGAAAATTAATGTGTTAATTTCATATTATTTGATTTAATTTCTCATACTTAAAAGGTTTTTAGTGTGATAAATTAATTCATGTAAAAGATTTTTATATGAATTAGAAATCAAATTTTATCAAAAGCCCTATATTATTTAAAATGGAGATTTTAGATTAATTTTCTGAAATTATGCATAAAGGAGTTTATGTTTAATTTAATTAGATCACCAAATTGGAAAGTATGCTATGTGATTTATTATATGGCAATTGTATATTATATATGATATATTATTATTGCTATAAATGACTAGTATGGCCCAAAGTTTAAATTAGAAAATACGATATGCGTATCGTTGTGTATTTTTGTAATTTAAATACGATTTGCGTATCGTTAAGTATTTTTGTAATTTATTTTAATTATGAATTAGTTTAATTATTTAAATACTTAATTAATCCAAAGAATAGCCCAAGATAAGAAGGCCCATGATAAAAAATGGATGGAGATCCATGAAGAGTTCAAGGAGGTGCCTAATCAAGCTTAGTTCTTAGGATTAGGGGTCATACTAGCTCATATTTAATTTTATTCATTTTATTATTATTTCTAAAATGTTTATAAAGTTATTGAATGTTGTTATCAAATGCGCTAGAGTTCACTGATTTATAACAACATAATAAACTTAAGTCCCACAAATATTGAGGCTCGCTTTTCCAAATATAAAGTACTTATTAAACCCTTGATTAATAGTAATGGGTCATGCCTCCGCAGGGCATTATTATTAATCTTGGGAGGTAAGGTGAAATTGCGAATTTTGCACACTTAATTTGGTCATCCTCAACAAAATCATCAAAAGCGTTTTGGATTTTGAAGCAAGGGGATAATTGAACATGTGATGTTATCTATCCAACCAAGAATTACAAGAAGTTGTAGTTAGTAAAGGAGTTTACTTACCTTGAAAATGTAACCTTAAGGAAGGGCCTCCGTCCGCTTAATGCTACATAGGGATAGGATCTTGGAATCACGTTATTCATGAAGGGACACAAAATGAATATAGTGTAAAGTAGCTAAAATGATTTCAATGGATGTTTGAATCATAAACTACTTCGATAAACATAGTTGAATTTTGTAATTATTTGCAAATATTATGTCTTTATTGATTAATTTTCGTGTTATGAATATCTCCTCAATTGAAAGAAATATTGAGAAACGTTCTCAAAACTAAAAGAGTATCCGTAAACCATTATCCAAGCTTTGTTAAAAGGGTTTTAAAGGCTAAAAGGAGTGTTAAAAACCTATTTAATAATATCACATGTCTAATGATAGCTTCAAGAAATTAAAAAGTTTGAATAATTGAATGGCTCCACCATTGACTCATTTTGAAAACGTTTCAAGTGATTGGACTCGATGGAGAGGTACAAGACCTCTAAAGACAACATGAGTACTACTCACATGAAGAACCCAGTATTTTTCCTTGATCAATATGATTGAACATGGTGAATGACTTGGATTTTCATATTGTCAAATGTTGACTAATTTAAGTGACATCATTCATCACTTATTACATGCGGTGTTAACTACAAGATTAAACTCCAACATGAATTGTGTTGAATTGTTTTGGCAAAATTATGTAAGATGCTTAAAGTAGTTGAGCATAGTATCATTTTGAGCTTGAAAGAAATGTTCTAGATGGTTCAAATGAGAAAGGGTTAAGAAGGATGGGGACTACAATAAAAGCCAAAGGATAAAGAAAAGACAAATAAGTTGTCAATTCTTAATCACTAGGCTACTAAATTGTCAAGTGCTATTATGAATAACAAATGTTTAAATTGAGGACTGGGTCCAAGATATTGAAAACTACCCCATAAAGTATAGTTGGAAGGTAAAGAATGGAAATGTTCCACATCAAGTAGTTATAGAAATTGATTTAGCAAAAAAGCTAGTTATTTGACATGTG